AACAGTGCGTAGAGAGCTTCATGGAATGGGTTTCCATGGCCGAGCAGCTGCATCCAAGCCTTACATCACCAAGCGCAATGCAAAGTGTTGAATGCAGTGGTGTAAAGCGTCGCCACTGGACTCTAGAGCCGTGGAGCCGTGTTCTCTGGAGTGTCGAATCACACTTCTCCGTCTGGCAATCCGATGGACGAGTCTGGGTTTGGCGGTTGCCAGGAGAACGGTGCTTGTCTGACTGCACTGTGCCAAGTGTAAAGTTTGGTGGAGGGGGGATTATGGCGTGGGCTTGTTTTTCAGGAGTTGGGCTCGGCCCCTTAGTTCCAGTGAAAGGAACTCTTAATGCTTCAGCAGACCAAGAGATTTTGGACACTTTCATGCTCCCAACTTTGTGGGAACAGTTTGGGGATGGCCCCTTCCTGTTCCAATATGACTGCGCACCAGTGCACAAAGCAAGGTCCATAAAGACATGGATGAGCGAGTTTGGTGTGGAAGAACTTGACTGGCCTGCACAGAGTCCTGACCTAAAGCCGACAGAACACCTTTGGGATGAATTAGAGCGGAGACTGCGAGCCAGGCCTTCTCGTCCAACATCAGTGTCTGACCTCACAAACACGCTTCTGGAAGAATGGTCAAAAATCCATAAACACACTCCTAAACCTTGTGGAAAGCCTTCCCAGAAGAGTTGAAGCTGTTATAGCTGCAAAGGGTGGGCCGACATCATATTAAACCCTATGGATTAAGAATGGGATGTCACTCAAGTTCATATGCGTGTGAAGGCAGAAGAGCGAATACTTTTGGCAATATAGTGTATGTATATATGTACTTGTATATCAAGAAACAACAATTACTGGTTTTACACTGAGGTTTTTAAACCCTAACCCAAAAGTGCCACATCATTTTTTCATCACAGCATTCATTCGTACAGATCATGCCCTACTTAAAAGTGTCACAGTAGAATAGGTAGGAAGCGTGGGGATAATGGAACCTGCATACCTCTGACATTTCGTCTGTGCCAGAACTCATAACACGACATAACATGACTAATTCTTTAAAAATAGTTTAATCATTGCTATGCTGGCCTGGTCCTTCACATGATGGAGAACCAAATGAAAAGGCAAAAATATGTAGAAATAATTTGTATCCAGAACCTCACAACCCAATTAGGAATGCTTTAATGAGATTTAATAACTTATGAGGCTTTACTTTTGCAGGGTACAGTGCAACTATTTATAAAGCTAGTAAAAGTGTTTACATTTTCAAGAGCAGTTGCTGTGTTGCACATCATGGCCTCTAAATAATGCACTTTGTGAACTGCTGACATTTATTTCATGCTAATGTTACTGTGCAAAACCTTTAATCAGCTGAACTGCTCCTTCTACAGATTTAACAATATTAATCTTTCAGCCAGAAATAAAATATTCCATTAACATAGGATCATGTAGTTTTGCCCATTAGCAATGTGCTGATTGGCTAAAAATACTCAAGATTATACAGCCATTAGAGACTATATATACATTATTTCTGCACATACTAGCATGAGTCACTCTGGTGCTGTGAAAGAACATGAGTGTGTGTGTCACTTGTCTTAGTCATGGCAGACACTGCCACAGAACGTGAGGGAGAAGTTGCATGGGGTCTGGCCCATTTATGTCATGGGGCTGCACCTGCCCTGACACTGTACTGATATGAATGCTGCTGTCTTCAGAGGCGTCGTGGAGAGACTTTACACTTACCACCTTCTGTATATTGCATTTTTTATTTTATTTTAGTCTTCAACAGAAGCTTACTTCTTGGTGAATACCATTATGGTTTATTATTCCTCCCTTAGGTCGCCCATGGTATATACGGCATGAAATCCTAACTTCCTTACAATGCTCTCCCACTCATGGCTCACTACAACAAGCAGAGAAGTACTCTTTCTCTCTCTCATGGTATATATATATATATATATATATATATATATATATACACACAGAGAACTGAATAATATAATTTGTGTTTAAGTATGGTTCAGTATACATCAAAAGGTGTGGCTGTGCATACAGCCTACAGCAAATATTTATTTTGCATTTATCCCATGTTTTTTTCATTTTTTACATCAAAACAAGAGGTAAAAATTTGATGTTTGTAAGTGACTTGAACCTGTTGATGCAGAATGCACATCAGGCATACAAGAGGTACAAACGATCTAATCTGTGTAATTTTAAAAATATGTAATAAAAATTGAATATAAAGTGTTAATTACTCTAGACTTCTAGGGGTCAAACTAGTGATTAAGAATAAGGACTTGAGTTGGGCCCTTTAAGTTTTTGTTACACGCTCTGTTCCTCAGTGCTGGAAACCTCTACATACCTCTGAAGTCATGTCGAATTCTGTATTTGGCGCCATGCTCATATTAGGTCTAAACAGATTTATCTTTGACAAAAATCAATGGCATTTTCAAAAATTCGCTGCTGTTGTGCTCTGGGGTAAACTAAAATGTTCCGAAGCTGATATACGTTACCGTACACATGTCCTCTCCAAACGTTGCCAAATCCTCTGAATGACAAGGTCATAAAGAAGACGAAAAATGAATACTGCTATATCCAAGCTGACACACTAAAGAGACATCATAAGAATGGAAATTTCACTAAAATACCCCATTCAATTATTTATGTTAAGTTGCTTTGGCAGTAGTAACCTACAGTTTGAGTTGCTTTTGTTATTAAGTAATAGTGTTAAAGTTTTATAGTAGACCAACTGTCATACAACATTATTTCCATGTGCAAGAGTGTTACCTTGCTACTAGCATGTATGTAGCAATATTTCATATTTCAACCTCTAAATAATCTCACAATTCAGAGGATTCAGTGACCTCTGGGAGAGGAAATGTACACAGAACAAAATGTGTCAGGATCTGAACCTTTTTGGTTACCACAGCTGACTTTTGAAAAGGTCATCTGCTTCCTGATATTAGCATGACTGCAGAAGGATGTACATCTTTAGAGGCCTATGAGAACCTGTGTGGGCAGAGCTTAGAGTTAGCCAATATGGCCAAAACATCAAATACTTTCACATTATTGCAGTATCATTGTTTTTCACACTGTAAACCTAAATAAGGTTACTTTACTTTGAATAAAAAATCATGCAAACTCATTGCCTCAAAATAAAAAATTAAGTAAAGTTACTTCACAAGTTCAAGCTTAAGTAAAAGTAAAAGCCTTTCAGGAGTATCAGGTTGCCTCAGCACAAGCAGAACATTTGCATACTGAGCATGTCTTTCCACCTTGTTTACCCTACCTTCTATGTGTTGTCATTCTTCCCAGCCTATCTTGCCTTGGGTGTCTACTTTTTTTGGTAAATTTTTGTGATTCAGCTAATCTCAGTCAGTACTGATTGAAAATCAGTGTTCAGGGAATTGAATTATTGAGTTCCATCTCCTGAGTGTGGTTTCTGTGCTGGCTAAACACTACAGAGATTACTCTGGGCTAAACTGTCAGCATTTGGCAATATGATCTAGAGCAAAAATAAGGTAAATTGGTTAATTTGCCTGTTAGTATCAAGTATGTGCAATATGGCATGAATTTGTTAGTTACAACGTAATTTAGCCTAGCAGTGAATTTAAATTACAATTTCTTTATTGTAGTTAGTACAACTATTATGTATAAGTCCAAAATACTCAATCATTTTAAGATCACCAAAATGAATAGAATTAGTATAATTTAATCAGTTTATTTAAGTGTATATAACAATAAACATATGTTTTGTTTATACTTAGTTCAGGGAATTATTTATGGTCAAATGATTTGAGTTACTTAAATGGTTTAAGGCAATCGCTTTCCTCAAACCATTTGAGTTGACTTAACTCGTCAGGTTTTACAGTGTAATAAACAAATGAATAAGACAAGAGTGACCCATGTATGAAGACTGAAATTGCTTCAAGTTTCTCGGCCATTCTGTGTAGTTACTGCTTGGGACTGGTATTCACCAAGTGACAGCTTTCCTTGCTATATGCCTAACTGATAAACCTAAATACACAAGACCGTCATGGTGATTTTAGCATGAGAATATGCTATGACACAAAAATGTCACAAAAGCGGAAAACAATAAGCAGAAACAAACAAAACTGCTAAGAACTCTAGGAAGCTTTTTGGGCAAACAACTCTTATCCGAAGAACTTATCCAAATTAATTGATCTTAACTAGATTTACCTAAGTAACTAAGGCATTACGTAGTAAATAGTACATGTTACTAGATTTTCATTAGTAAGTTTCACAGATGAATAACATAAACGAAAAATAGTTAGTGCAGTTAAAAAATAGTTACTGTTTTCCGGTGCAACTTATATGAGACGTTTATCACTCAAGGTCAGCAACCAGAGATTCATCAACATGCAATTTTTAAAATATTTCTATTACAAACATTAAATTGAAGAGGAAAAATTAACATTCACAACCTTTGGAACCTACAAATATAGATATTCAAACCTCTAAGTGTTCAATGAAACAGCAAAAAGGAACATCCCTTCCACCATCTATTGCATGTTTATCATAGGTGTTTCCACATGCAACATCAATGTTTTTGTCACATGTCTGGTTATTAAATGAGCTAAAAGATTTCTCATGTTACACCTTGTTTACACAGCTTGCATATTATGTTCTCCTGCAAAAAAACTTTGAAAACATGTTTTATTATCCAAAAATAAATTGCCTTTAAAAACATTTCATTGCAGACATACACATCCATGAGAAAATACAAATGTGAATTGTGGAAACTATGTTAACTTTTAATAAAACAGGGAACTCTTTTAACCTCTGCATTCAATTCGCACTGTACAGCCCTGTCACATCAAATTATTGACAAGGGGTTATAACATTTTCACATTAAGTGTATGTTGTACATACTTCTGTACTTACGCAATGAACAACTTTGATAAGTAATAGAAAAATGCTATTAATTAAGGTGCTGCAAAACAAAAATAACTGAAAAAAGAATGTATACCACCCAGCCCTAGCAGAGCTTACCTGTAGATTTTGTAGCGAGTGGTGAAGCCTTGCTGAAAGCGCTCCTTGAACTCTGTGTACTCCGGGCAGCGGTGGAAGGGCCCTTTGTCGGACAGGAGCCAGTCCAGCTGGCCACTGCTCCGGCCAGACACGGATAAGAAAGGGGAAGGATTGTGGTCCAGGCGCTCAGCTGCAGCCAGGATCCAACTCAGAGGACCCAGAGGTGCCCAGTGCCACAGGAGCATCAAGAGAAACCATCTAACGACCACGGCTCTTGGCCAACACGACGCCATCCTGCCCCTGGGTACCTGGGACCAGCATTCTTCTGCCAATCCCTCTTGACCTGCCATCAGAGGAAAGAGAAACAGGTGATGTTAGACGGGTCATTTGCAGTCTATGTATTTTATATACGCTCACCTAAAATGTTATCTCTACCTTCTCCACCTTTTAGGTCCACTTTGATGGTGTATAGTTAGAGACTGTAGTCCATCTGTTGATGCACACTTTGCATTAGCCGTCCTCCAGTGATCAGTTTCAGACCACAGAAGCCAACTGTGTAGCGGTAGCAGTACATTTCCAGGTGGCAGACCACTCCCAACCCGGCAGTGACACTGTGTAAAGATTCTTGCTGTGGCTAATACACTCGTACCAGCTCCATACTCAATACCATGCAACTACCATATAAGTGTCACTACTGTGTATTTAGATATAAATTTAACATCCAGCTAGCACCAAGCTAGATCTTGAAGTAGAGCCTTCACTTTTTTGGTTTGTAGTGGGATGCTTTTTGGTAGCAGGTAGTTGAGTTCCAACAAAATATTATCTGGTCAACTGTAGAGATGTGCTTTCGAACTAATTCTGATTTTCAAATATCAGTGAGAGTTAATGAACTGATATTCATTTAACTGCGAGACAGGAAAAAAAAGTACCTCAGCCAAAATTAACATATGGTCATAGGCTTACTCTTTTAGGTGATGGCTCTGATGTTAAGAAGCAAAAATATCAGCGAGCAGAATAATACCTTTGAAAACAGGTAAATTCGTAATTTTAACTAAGTGGTTGCTAACACTAGATACAAATGAGGACTCGTCAACTCTCACAAGATATTTTCTCCTTAATGGACGACCTGCTAGCATGTAAACATCCACTAGAGTAGTTAGCCTAGTTAGTAATAAAGCTACACTACATCTGACTTCTCAGTCACATCCTTAACAATGCGTCTTTGGCAACGTGCTCAGTTTAGGCACTTATGTTTTGGAGTGACACAATGTAATATACATTACAAGCAACATAAGTAAAATCATAATATTTTACAGTTCTGTTAGTTCTAAAACATAAAAAGGAGGCATTTCATTTGACTTGTTAATCTCTGCATTTTCTTCATATTTCCGATTTCTCCCAGTACCCGAAATGTGATTTCAGTAGTCGAATACTGGCACCTTGATCAGTTAACAGAGTACTCAATACCTGTGTACATACTAACCTGACCAGTAATGAATGGGGTAGAAGGTGGCTGACAAATTGTGCATGACAACAGATACACCGATCAGGCATATCATTATGACCACCTCCTTGTTTCTGTGCTCAGTGTCCATTTTATCAGCTCCACTTACTATATAGGTGCACTTTGTAGTTCTAGTTACAGACTGTAGTCCATCTGTTTCTCTGCATACTTTGTTAGCCCCCATTTACCCTGTTCTTCAGTGGTCAGGACCCCCATGGACCCTCACAGAGCTGGTACTATTTGGGTGGTGGATCATTCTCAGCACTGCAGTAACACTGATGTGGTGGTGGTGTGTTAGGGTGTGTTGCGCTAGTCTGAGTGGATCAGACACAGCAGTGCTGTTGGAGCAAAAATAGCATACATGGCAGAGCTGCAAGGTGCAAACCACTGCTGACCAAAAAGAACACAAAGGTTTGTCTCTCATTTGCCAAAAAACATGTAGATGATCCCCAAGACTTTTCAGATAATACTATGTGGACTGATGAGTCAAAGGTGGAACTTTTTTGGAAGACATGGGTCTGGCATAAAGCTAACACCACATTCCACCATAAGAACATCATACCAACAGTCAAACATGGTGGTGGTAGTGTGATAATCCGGGGCTGCTTTACTTCTGCAGGACCTGGACGACCGAACTGATTAAACCAGGAATTCTGCTCTTAATCAGAAAATCCTGAAGGAGATTGTCTACTTGTCAATTCGTGACCTAAAGCTCAGGGTTATGGAGCAGGACAATGGCTATGTTTACATGAAAAGAATTTTGCCAATCCGATTGAATACATTCCAATTAAAGATTAAGACTGAGGTGTTTATATGTTCACTCTATTAAACAATCTGATGGAAAATCTTCGTTTACATGCACACTACAAGTAATCCGATCCAAAACGATGCGCATGCGTGGAGTACCACTTAGAGTAAACGTTACCATGACAGAGAAACTCCCGTGAGATCCTGTCAGAGTGAGGTGAGTTTTCAGTTGGCAAGCTTGTTCATTACTTTAAAAATATGTCAGAATCAGAAAAATGTACCTCACATGTACCTCACATTCCTCTCACAGAAGGGTGAGAGGAAGACGTCGTGCTCTGAGACAGCTGGATGCCCTTCCCACTGCCGTCTTTTAAAGCTCAAAGCATAAACTTCAACCAGTTTTTGCTCCCACCATGCTGAACGTTATAAACAGAGCCGGTTTATGAGCTCTCTGCTTTTGCTATGACGCGAACGCACATGCGCAGAATGTACTTACATGTTCCGATTGGAAATGTACTTGGATACAGGCGTTTACATGTCTATTATTCTTCTATTTAACAGATTATTTACAGGATTACCCACCTCATTCAATCGGATAGAAATTGCCTCAATTGGTTAGTCTATTCTGATTGAAGTGTATACATGGACATATTCTATTCCGATTGAGCTATTGGTCGGATTATTAACGGATTATTAGGCTAAATGTAAAGGTGGCTAATGAGCCAAAGCACACAAGTCCACCTCTGAATGGCTCAAAAGAAACAAAATTAAGGTCTTACATTGGCCAAATATAGTCCTGACTTGAATCTCATTGAGATGCTGTGGCAAGACCTCATGCTCGAAAACCCCCCAGTGTGGCCGAATTAAAACGATTCTGCAAAGATGAGTGGAACAAAATTCCTCCACAGCGATGTAAAAGACTCATCAAAGGCAACAATGTAGATGCTGATGAAGTGGATAGTGAGTATCTGTAGGTAAGCAAAGTATTGTATCATTAGCATTGAAAAGAAAAATACTGCAGGAATGGATACATATTCAGTTCCACTGTGGTACAGTAGCAAGCACAGAGCAGGGAAACAATATCATGGCTTAATGAAAAACATACTGTATCTAGAAGGTGATGAATACAGCAAAAATAAATAGTAGTTGTGAACAGGTCTTTCTAATAACTAAGTAGTAGGTATGAATGAATCTAAACAACTCAGCAACATATGCGTTTCAGCATGCATGACTGTTCTCTCATAACTTCGTAATATGAATTCCTTTCTCTCGCTGTGTTTTGTGCAGAAGAGCATTTGAGTTTGTGAAGCACAGTAAACACTCAATTATTCAACAGTGCACTGGGAAAAAAAACAAGACCGAGAATGTTTGACGCATACGTCAAAAAATGAAGAGCCACGGGGGACCCCCATATTAATGAGTGAGGGGTTATATTCTGCATTGCACTAATAAACTGACGCATATACAAAGACGCATTTTATACCAGCGGGATCCGGGACCATCAATATTCCCTCACATTGTTTTCTAATCTTCGCCAAATTCACAATGTGAATTAATTTCACTGGGACCAGATGCATGTTTGGATTTTAAATGATGTATGAACTACCTTGCTTTCATTTAGAAGTGGAGCAAGAGACTACTGCACGTTTCAAAAAAGGCAATTAGTGGGGAGGTGACAAAACTGGATCCAAAGCCAAAAGTGTGCTTTGAAACCCAATAATAATCTTATGAGTATGATGCTCTTCTTGATGTGTCATATGCTCTGTTTACTCAGAATAGTCCATCTGTACACAATTCATAAAGCTAGCCGAGGCCACTGGGTATGTGGAGATTATTTTTATGGTGTTCCCCTATTGTTTTCTACAAGTACATCCTATTTCCTCCTTCAATCTGGTAGTTCTAATATAGTGAATTTAATTATTCTCATTTCTCCTGGAAGATATCTTTCTCCTCCCTTTCTTGCCTCTACTCCCACCCTTTGTTTTGTGCCCAGCAATTCTCCTATGGCCTTATCTTGATACATCTAATTCCTCTCTATTGCATTCCACCTCCCACTCTACTTTATATCTTTCATTCCCCAACCCCTTTGTTCCTTTCTTGTTCTCTTCATCCTATTGTTTTTCTTTTTTCTTTTGCAGCCCAGGCTTCCATGATTCTGAGAAAAATGGCCAAGAACAGCAGTCTTTGAAGAGAATGAACAAATAAATTCAGCTTTTCTTGTTCCATGTAAAAGTGTAAGTACTGACTTTGCTTGACTTGATTAAGTCACAGAACCACGAGAAACACATTTATGAACTGGTTTCTACGGCTCAGATCCTTTGTTCTCTATCTATTAGCTTTATAGAATCAAACACTTTGGTATCCAGTGTCTGAAAGCAATAGCTTGGGTGAAAATGAAATTTACCCAATTTGCCCACATGCAGTTGATCAGTGAAGACATGTTTACTTCTGTAGCTTTGCACTGGAGCTGTGAGGCTATATTATACTCCACCGAGCTATGGAAAAAATTCAGGCCTCAAGATGGCTGCTCTAACAGTTTTCACTTTTGTCGATATTTACAGATTCCAACGTGATCCTGTTTACACCTGCCAGGGACTGTTAAAGCAGTGTAGTGAGGGCTGTGTTCAAAATACTGATACAGCAATACAATATGGATAAGCTTGTGGTGATACGTGTATCAATATAGTGACTGCTGTATCAGTATTTATGAAATTATTTTTACACAGCACATTAATGTACCAGTGAAGCAGATACTGAGAAAGTGGTGTTTACAACATCCAATACGTGGCAATATAAAAATTATAAAATTCTGTGTTGGAGAAAAAAAAGCATTTCATTCTGGTCCCTCTGTATACACGTTCTGGAGAAACAGTTCATTCATTAGTTTATTGTCTGCTGTTGTGCGCATGAACGAAGTGAGTATCCTTTACTAATTCAAATTAGGGCATATATGAACCTTGTTAGCTGTGTACCTGGGCTAGTTTCACTTTCACAGATGTGGCTTAGTTCGTGGTAGAACTGTTATTAGTTTGTAGCTTGCACTTATTAATGCTTAGCAGTTAGCATTTTGGGCATGTGGTTGTAGTGCTGCT